AAATACATCTTGCTACACTTAGAATAAGAAAAATAAGAACTTTTTTTGCACTTAAATAAGACAAAAAACTGTAATATTGCCTGAATTAAGAAAAAGACACTTAATCCTTTGATAGATAATTTTACTTGTGAAGCTGAATCGACTCAAATAAAGTAAAATGTTCTTAATTTAATTCATTTTAATTGAACTAGATGTTGTTTTTGTTCCTGTGTATTTTTTTGCCACCGTTCTTTCTCTCTTAAATGGACAGGGCTGAGTAAACTGGATTAAGAAAACAGATTTTACAGCTGAGAGAAGATGACACGCTCGGCTCATTCCAGACCTCCTCACTAATGTTTCCATTGTTAAACAGGAGGACCCTAAACAGGACTGGAAGATCCGGGTCTGATCTCGGTCTAGTCCAAGTCTGGACCAGGTCTGGGACAGGTTTACGGCTCTCCTGGGACCAAAACATATACATCCAGAAAGCCTTATAAGGGTCTGAAGAGCGGAGAAGGTGACTCATAGGAGAAAGAAGATATGACCACATATGGAATTTTTACCATATGTCCACAAACTGCTAATGCCATTCAAAGAAAACATATTTATTAAAGCAGGATTATTCTGCAAAATCTACTTTTCAGAGCTTTGAACCATGATGGAGGTGGATTTGGAGCGATATGTTCATGTTTGAGAGATCTTTAATTATTTAATCACTTATTTTTAGGAGTGTAATGGTACTTAAAGGTTGTATAGAGGATTTTTTTAAGGGACGTGAAATACAGCGACAGTTCTTTTTCAAATGTCGTGCATGTGTGACACCACCTTCCTCCTCCACAGCTCCCTCAGCAGAAACACCTCCTCCTCCCGCCTCTTTACTCTACAAATCACGTTTGTTTACATCCAGTGCGTGTTCAGAATTACAGTTGAAGTGACCTGCCTAGAAATAATTCAGCGACCGACGCGTCAGTTTTTAGACCCTTCGGACTTTCGTTTGCGGCGGACTGTTCGTTTCGCGGCGAACTTGTTGTGGATTCTCGTCCGCCATCGTAAGAAACTTTGTGCGAATTGCAAGGAAGCTACAGTTTGAAAAAGCCTCTAAGAACCGCTGCATAAACCATGTCATCCCCGAGCGCCGGCGAGTCAGTTGCACAAAAAATGTAGGGAGTCTGATTGACAACCTAACAGCCAATAGATAAAGAGGGAGCCTCGTTTTCTATTGATGTTTATCTGGCCTCACTACGTCCACAGTTGATAGATTTTCATTCTTTTTTTTTTTTCGGTCATCATAATTACAAGGCTGCTGCGTCTCTGTAATGGTATTTTAAACTTTCAATGACAATCTGAAACTAAAAAAAAAATCCTCCATACAACCTTTAAATTCATGCTGAACCCTTTCGGTACGGGACGTTTGGTTCAGTGCAAGGCTGCGCACAAGTGAGTTCGTGCAATTTGTGTGTGTTTACATTCCGCCACTACATGTGCAGCTACACAGAAGATTCGGCTCTTTAATATTCACCAGAAAACTCGACCGTGATTGGGGCAATGTTTCCCGCAGCGCTTTATAGTTACTGTTGACAACAATCGTCCCCCACCTTGACTACCGTATTTTCCGGGCTATTAGACGCGCTCTTAAAGGTTGTATAGAGGATTTTTTTTAAGGAAAGAGAAATCCAGCGACAGTCCTTGACACCACCTTCCTCCTCCACAGGTCCCTCTAGAAATAATTTAGAGACCGACACCTCAGTTTTTAGACCCTTTGTCTGCTTCAGTCGCGCCATCGCTGGAAGGAATCTCCAAGAATCACCTCAGTTTGTCTTCGCTCCTTTTCTCCTTCTCTTCTTCTTTCAGCGACCTCAAAAACCGACTTTCTTTTGCGGCGAACTGGTCGTGGATTCTCGTCCGACATCGCAACAAACTTTATGCGAACTGCGAGAGCCACAATTAGAAAAAGCCTCTAAGAACTGCTGCATAGTTACCTTAGAAACGTAGGGAGTTTGATTGACAACCTAACAGCCAATAGAAAATGAGGGAGCCTCGTTTTCTATTGGCTGATGTTTATCTGGCCTCAACACGTCCACAGTTGATAGATTTTCTTTCTTTTTTTTTTGGTCATCATAATTACAAAGCTGCTGCGTCTCTGTAATGGTATTTTAAACTTTCATTGACAATTTGAAACAAACAAAAAAATCCTCCATACAACCTTTAAGCCTCTAACCACATCAAAAAAACCACTGCGCCCCCCGCAATCCAGAGCGCCCTATACACGAATCCACTCGGGTGTCCCAGCACGACTTCAGTAAACTATAAAGCCGCACCACCCGCAGAACACACAAACACACACGGAGCAGACAGCGACCGCACTCATCACTCCACACCGACGAGGAACGGAACGGAGGAACGAACCGAAAAAGCGAGCGCAATGTGCCGCTTCTAGACACGACTGAACAATTGAGTCATTGCGACCGATCCGTTGGTCCCAGACAGACAACTGAACAAAGCCCAGAGTCACAAGACAAACAAAACCACTCACCCATCACACTGTTGAGTTTCGTTGAAAGTCCGGCGCGGTTTATTTGTGAAAAAAAATTGAAAATAGACCACTTAATGACAGTGCTCTTATAATCCAGAGCACCTAATAGCCCGGAAAATACTGTACACTCCGCCACTACATGTGCAGCTTCATGGAGGCTCAGCTCTTTCATATTCACAAGGGAACTCGTCCGTGATTGGGGCAGTGTTTCCCCTTGACAACAATTGCCCCCCGCCTTGACTACGTCCCTCTGAACCAGGTGAATCCTCGTGCCCCGGTCCTCACTTTCACCTTTCGCTGGCACAGAATCTCCGCCCACCACATACCCTCGACCTCTGTCCGTAGCGAAAGTGTATTTTCAACCACTGGGGACGTTGTAACTGCAGCAGATCTACTTTTACTGCAGACAATGTGGACAAGTTGTTTTTTCTGGCCAAAAATATGAAGATTGAGTAAAACTTCATGCTGGAACTGTTAGTGCTGCGCTTTACTTTTTGAAAAGTTTTGTTTACTGTTTACAGGGAATTGATTTTTTAAATAATATTTCACACTAGGGATGGGCATGATTAGTCGATTAATCGATAATTGATCATTAAGAATTTCATCGGTTATGTTCATTTTAATCGACAAACCGAATGTAGGTTGCTGTGCGTAGTGTAGGGTGACCAAACGTTCGTGTCGTTCTCAGAAGGAGCGAGACACAAACATTCGTTCAGTCTGCAACATGCCAAAGCACAAATGTGTATTTAACGATGATTTGTACAAGAAATTCCACACTTTCCGTTGCGTTCGGGACAAGTGTGAGTCCATGTGCACAGTGTATAAAGCAGCACATATGTTTCGGTGTCCAGTGGGAAAAAGTTCATCAGGACACCGAAAACATTAAAAAGTTTTGCGAGGTGAGAGAAGCGCAATGTGGATGACGAGTCCCACCTCCCTCCCCCCGTACGGTGTCCTGGCTTTGACAAACGCAAACATGGTCACACTAACCTGTATTCACCTGAGTCGTGCCGCATCAGCGACACAAGAGCTGTTTGTTTTTTTTCTTCGCTTAGTTTATGCAAATTAGCGATGCGGTTTTAAGTTTTGTTTCTGTGAGAGTTGAACAAAACTGCATTAAACACATTATAATGTCAAACGGGCTGATGTGGCTCTAGAGTCGTTACGGTTTATATGTCGTAAAGTTGAATTTATTTATGCAGATTAGTAGTGCAGATAGTAATAATAATGATGATCATTTTAATATAAAAATGTTAATGATTAATCCATAATCGATCGTTAATTCTTCCAACGATCGATTAAGAAAATTTAATCGAATGCCCATCTCTATTTCAAACATTTGCTGCTTATTTGAGAATATTTTATGTAGCTTATTAGTATTACCAAGCAGCACTTTGCGTTTATTTTATTTTATTTGTGTAATGTTCAAACTAATTACTGATTTAATAAACACACAAATTAACAAGAAAACGGTTTTGCATTTTGTTCCCGAACTGTACCGAAAATGAACCGAACCGTGACGTCAAAACCGTGGGTACGTACAGAACCGTGATTTTTATGAACCATTACATTACGCTTATTTTTAAGACGCAATTTAGCCGATCAACTCCTGTTTTCACCATCACCGGTACACGCCAACTGCTCTGGACTTAACGTTCTCCAATTTTATTTTATTTTCTTAATACACGTAGGATTTGGCAGCGTCGCGTTATGATTTTGGTACAACTTCACGGCAATGTCAGCTCCCATAGTTTACGAGCACGGACGTCAGTGGACTTTTTTCTTTTATTAAGTCGTTTTCGATGAATATTGCGATTTAAAACGTCCAAACAATCACACAAGGATCCGCAGGTGTCACAGATTACAAGAACACAACGCACAAAAGCACAACAGTTCTGCCTTGAACCGCTTTTATGCCTCTTTGAAAAGGCAGGATTGAAAGCTTACAATACAGTGTTTTTCTTTGAAGGCAGTTCAAATGGGGCTTAAACAATAGCTGCGTGTTTCGTGGAAGCTCGGTGAAGGTGAACGGGTGCAAAGGCGCGCTCGCACGACCTCACCCAGTGACATCATGAGGTGGGACAGAGCGTCAAACGAAACTTTCAGAACCAAAGTCGTGGTTTAGTCGGATTTAACCCAAATACGGTGATTTAACTTAAAGGTGCATTGCGTAACTTTTCTGGTAGAGGGCCTGTCACCTGCTTGTTTCTATGGAGATGTAATTTCTCTGCCTGGAATGTTCCACAGTGTGACATTAAACAGCTCTACCTGACATTTATTCAATTATAAGTCGTTTTATAGCTCAAAAATGCCCAGAAAAACAACATTCTGACTGTGATCGGGGTCGCCTCTCCACAGATCTGACCTGTAACTTTATCTAGTTTGGTCTCCATGACGATAGAAAGGTTTAATGTCAAACTGTGCCAATGCGCATGTCAAAAAACGATATAAAAACAGTGTTAAAAGTATAAATTGCGGCGTTGTTTACCTTTCTCGTGGTCGGTCCTGATCATGTCCATGAGCGAGTTCCCCAGAGAGTGTAAACTGAAGGCGTCAAACGGACGATTACGATCCTGAAAACACAACAGGAAGAAGAGGATCAGTTGAAAGTCATTCGGAAAGACAGAATACACAGTACTGCGTCCGAAACTCTCTTTTAGAGTTTTTAGGCCGACAGAGAACCAACCAAACCAAACAGAACCAAACAGAGAATCACCGGATCCTGCACCTGATCTCGAACGGACTCACATCTTTAAGCCAAAAATAAGAATTCAGGAATTGAAAAGTAATTCTTGTTTTTTCTAAGTGAACCGTGTCGACAAAGTAGACGTCAGTAAAACAAAGAAAACGTGGGTGTGGAAAATCCGTGTGTCATTCGTTCATTCTAGGGACGGGCATTCGATGAAATTTTCTTAATCGATCGTCGGAAGAATTAACGATCGATTATCGATTAATCATTAACGTTTTTATATTAAAATGATCATCATTATTATTACTATCTGCACTACTAATCTGCATAAATAAATTCAACTTTACGACATATAAACCGTAACGACTCTAGAGCCACATCAGCCCGTTTGACATTATAATGTGTTTAATTCAGTTTTGTTCAAATCTCACAGAAACTAAACTTAAAACCACATCACTAATTTACATAAACTCAGCGAAGATAAAACTACAGCTCTTGTGTCGCTGATGTGGTTCAATTTCTGTTGGATTAAAAGACATGACTCAGGTGAATACAGGTTAGTGTGACCAGATTTGTGTTTGTCAAAACCAGGACAGCGTACGGGGGGAGGGAGGTGGGGACTCGTCATCCACATTGAGCGACTCTCACCTGGTAAAACTTTTTCCCACTGGACACAGAAACATATGTGCTGCTTTATACACTGTGCACATGGACTCACACTTGTCCCGAACGCAACGGAAAGTGTGGAATTTCTTGTACAAATCATCGTTAAATCCACATTTGTGCTTCGGTTCGTTACAGACTGACCCACTGCTTGTGTCTCGCTCCTTCTGATGCAGAGACACATGTACACACCTGTTTGGTCACGATACACACAACAACCTACATTCGGTTTGTCGATTAAAATTAACATAATCGATGAAATTCTTAATGATCAATTATCGATTAATTGATTAATCATGCCCATCCCTAGTTCATTCGTTTTTCAATATAAAACCAAAAATAAGAAAATGAAAAAACAACAGTTTTCTTCATTATTTGTCTCCAAAACCAAAATAAAAAAACGGATAATGATTCGTTTTTTCAGTTTTCGATTTTGTGTTAAAATGAAGAATAGAAAAAACACGGATAATGTTTCCCGTTTCACGTGACTTCTGTGACTGCGATGCTGGACTTTTGCACCGCATACAGACTGAACCAGGACTGATCCAAGTCCGGGACCAGAGCGGGACCAGAGTGGGACTGAGACCGAGATCAGGCCGGGACCAGAACGAGACTGAGACCGAGACTGAGACCGAGACCAGACTGGGACCAGACGGGACTCTGAGCTTTGACTCTGAGCCTCCGCGGGGCCCGAGCCTTCAGCTTCGAGCTCCGGCCTCGCACCAAACGGTCCAACGGACAGCAGCTCCAAACGAACTATTCCAACCAGCGGGAGCAGCTCCTGTTCAGAACCAGAACCAGCACCGTTCTGGCCGGCCCCAAAACAGCTCCATGAATGAGTGCACTGTAGAGGGCGCTAAAGAGTGCAGGTTTATATTGAGTGCACAGTATACATGCACATCAATAACCCGGTTATTAGCCATATCCCGGTTATGTCAGTATTCGTGTTACTGTGTTTACATGCGCACTGAGAAACCGGGACACTCATATCCGCGTGTACATGATCAAATGGAGTATCCCGGTTTCTTGACATAATCTTACAAATGCGCAGGCGCAAAAATTTAACTTAAATCAATTTCATAAACCAGGAAAAATACAAACCGTGAGCTCCTTTAGCATAAGAAGCTAAGGAGCTACGAGATCTCCCACAATCCACTGTGCAGATTCTTCATTAAAATCTTCTGCATAAATAAACTGAACTTTACAACATATAAACCATAAACACTATAGACACATCAGCCCGTTTGATCAGATAATTCAGCTCTGATCACATTTGTTTACGTTTTTACAGAAACGAAACTTAAGACCGTAGGCTAATTAGCATAAACTGTTAGCGGCGATAAAAACAACTCGCTCCTTGTGCCGCTGATGTGATCAGTTTCTTTTGGACTAAATGACACGACTCTGTGGATTATGTGTGTTATTTCTGTGACAGAAGAGGTGCTAATGATGGTAAGTGTGTTTCGTGCGTATAGAGTATAGGAGATAGTTCATGTTTTAGTTTTTCAGCGTCACACGAGTAGTCACTTTACGAGTGCAGGTCGTACGAGTGCAGGTCGTACGAGTGCAGGTCGTACGAGTGCAGTGTCGAGTGCAGATTGTACGTGTGCAGGTTTAGCGCAGCTCTTTATTTTACAGTCATTTCACTCGTTTGGTCACTTTATTTATGTTGGTCAATATATTTATGTCACTACTGTTGTGGTGAAAGGCTGGAAAGTGTCTTTTGGACGCATGCGACTCAACTTTATGTTGCAGTAACCGGGGTACTGCGTTTACATGCCACAAGTAATCCCGGTTACTATCGGAATAAACCAGCTACAGTAACCCGGTTTCTAATAACCGGGATACTGCCATAACCGGGTTACTGAAACCGGGTTACTGCGTTTACATGCACCATCAAGAAACCGGGATACTCAAAAAACCCGATCATAACCGGGTTATTGATGTGCATGTAAACGCACTCAATGTGAATGAGGGGTTAGGGACAATCAGGCAAAGCATCAAAATGTCACCTATTCGTGGATTTCAGTTTCCTCTTATATAGTGTAATTTCGAGGAGGACGTCATATTTTGTGTTAAACTGTTAATCACTATGGCAACAGTCCTAAGTTTTCATCCTTCTGAAACCCACGGATAAAAGACACGAGCTGTGAACTCCACTTGAGCCCAGTAAATACTTCAAAATTGGAACTAAACTCGAAAATAAAAACTGGAGCAGACGATGACAAAACCAGGACTGGAGCAGGATCAAACCAAGTCTACATCAGGACTGAACTGGGATCAGAAACGGACCACGGAGGCCAACTGCGAACACAGACGTATTTTTAGAGTTTAAATCAAAATTATGAACTAGATAGACGCAGTTTGACTTATTTGTTTTTCTTATTTTGAGCTTTTATTCCGTCGACTCTTAACCCGACGAGAATCACGTGAGACAAATTCTGCGAAGGAGCCGGCGCAACTAAACCAGGTCTAAACCAGGACTAAAACCAGGACTAACCAGGACTAAAACCAGGTCTAAACCAGGACTAAACCAGGACTAAACCAGGACTAAAACCAGGACTAAAACCAGGACTAAACCAGGTCTAAACCAGGACTAAACCAGGACTAAAACAGGACTAAAACCAGGACTAAAACCAGGACTAAACCAGGTCTAAACCAGGACTAAACCAGGTCTAAACCAGGACTAAAACCAGGACTAAACCAGGACTAAAACCAGGTCTAAACCAGGACTAAACCAGGTCTAAACCAGGACTAAACCAGGACTAAACCAGGACTAAAACCAGGTCTAAACCAGGACTAAACCAGGTCTAAACCAGGACTAAACCAGGACTAAACCAGGTCTAAACCAGGTCTAAACCAGGACTAAAACAGGACTAAAACCAGGTCTAAACTTAAATCGATTTTAAAGCTGAAAAACACCTCGAAAAAAAAAATCTGGTTGTGAGCTGGGCCGCCTCTTTGTGTTTTCATCATTTTTAAGCAGTTTTTCGGTATTTTACCTCAACAAATTAACAATTTATGTCTCTCTTTACTGTTGGCAACGATCAAATTGGTCAAAATAGGGACATTTGTTGTATAAAACTGGGACAAATCACTGGTCTGGTCTCCCTAATTTTATGCCAGCACATGATTTACAACTTTAATCTGTCTTTATATAAATTCTTTCCTAGTAAAGAAAAATTATTTTGTGATTTTTTTTTTTTTTGTTACATTTGGATTGGACTAAGAAAGGTTAAGTATTGTTGAGTTACAGCTCTAACAGTTCAAAAAAAGAGTCCTGGTTTAGTCCTGTTTTTAGTCCTGGTTTAGTTTCTGGTTTAGCCTTGGATTAGTGCTGGTTTAATCCTGTTTTAGTCCTATTTTAGTCATGGTTTAGTCTTGGTTTAGTCCTGGTTTACTGGTTTAGTCTTGGTTTAGTCCTGGTTTAGTCCTGGTTCAGTCCTGGTTTAGCTCTGGTTCAGTCCTGGTTTAGTCCTGGTTTAGTCTTGGTTTAGGTTTTAGTCTGGTTTAGTCCTGGTTTAGTCCTGGTTTAGTCCTGTTTTTGTCCTGTTTTAGTCCTGGTTTAGTCTGGTTTAGTCCTGTTTAGTCCTGGTTTAGTTGGTTAGTCCTGGTTTAGTCTTGGTTTAGTCCTGGTTTAGACCTGGTTTAGTCCTGGTTTAGTCTTGGTTTAGTTCTTGGTTTAGTCCTGGTTTAGTCCTGGTTTAGCTCTGGTTCAGTCCTGGTTTAGACCTGGTTTAGTCCTGGTTTAGTCTTGGTTTAGTCCTGGTTTAGACCTGGTTTAGACCTGGTTTAGTCTTGGTTTAGTCCTGGTTTAGTCCTGGTTTAGTCTGTTTAGTCCTGGTTTTAGACCTGGTTTAGTCCTGGTTTAGTCCTGGTTTAGACCTGGTTTAACCTGGTTTAGTCCTGGTTTAGTCGGTTTAGTCTTGGTTTTAGTCCTGGTTAGTCCTGGTTCAGTCCTGGTTTAGCTCTGGTTCAGTCCTGGTTTAGTCCTGGTTTAGTCTTGGTTTAGTCCTGTTTTAGTCCTGGTTTAGTCCTGTTTTAGTTTAGTCCTGTTTTAGTCCTGGTTAGTCCTGGTTTAGTCTTGTTTAGTCTTGGTTTAGTCCTGGTTTAACCTGGTTTTAGTCTGGTTTAGTCTTGGTTTAGTCTTGGTTTAGTCCTGGTTTAGTCCTGGTTTAGCTCTGGTTCAGTCCTGGTTTAGACCTGGTTTAGTCCTGGTTT